GCGCTTCCCCCTCTCCTCCCTCCCCCCGCCCCGCCGGGGGCGGCGCGGATTGGCCGCCCGCCCGCCCGCCCGCTGCCAATCACGCAGTGTAAACACGGCGCCCATTGGCCGCGCGCCAGCCCGCCCCGCGCCGCCCGCACCGAGCGAGCGGCGGCCGCGCGGTTTCAAGGCGGCCCGCGGCCCGGCGATGAAAGCGGAGCGGCGGGGCCGTTTCCAGGCTCCCCCCAANNCCCTTGCACCCCCCCCAATCCTTCCCCCCCACCATCCCCATCCCCAAACCCTCCCCAGGCGGACATCGCCACCGCGGCCCCGGCAGCGGGAGATGGAAGGCGGCGGGCAGCGAGCTGCGAGCGGTGCGCGGTACCGGGAGCGGTGCGCGGTAACGGAGAGCTGCGTGCGGCAACGGGAGAAACCGTGCGCGGTAACGGGACGGCTAAGAACGGTAACGGAAGGGAACGGTGCACGGTTATGGAGAGTTAAGCACGGTAATGGGGGAACCGTGCGCCGTTATGGGAGGACTGTGAGTCGTAACCGGGGAAGCGGTGCGAACGGTGCGCGGTAACGGGAGGGCCGTGCGGGGTGACCGGGGCTGTCCGAGCGGCTTAACGCGGACCCGCGGCCGGGCCGCTCCGGTGCCGTTGCGGGGCCGTTGCTGTGCCGTTGCGGTGCCGTTGCGGGGCCGTCGCGGCGCAGTCGGTGCTCAGAGCGCAGCGGAGCGTTCGGGAGACGCCGTGCGGAGACACCGCTCCCCGCGTTCTGCCTTTATCCGGGAAATAAAAGCGTTGAAACGCGCGGATAAATCGCACCGAGCGCGGCGTGGAAGGCGCTGGGGCAGCGGGAAGCGCTCCGTTACCGCACGGCGCACCGGGAGCGAGCGATAACGAGCGGGGAACGGCCGCCAGAGCCCCGACGGCAGCGGGGATGTGCGGGGGAGCGCAGCCCCAACCCCGCAAAAAGCCCTTTTTCATTCCTTAATGTTTCTTTCCGTTTCTTTCCCCGCAGCGGAGCGCACCGAGGCCGGGAGAAACCGGGACGGAGCAGCGCGGGAGCGGCGCACGGCGGTCGGTAGTGGTGCGTGCACGGCCGCGGGGGTGGAAAACGGGAGAGAATTGTTTCGGCTAAAAAAAATATATATACATAATAATAACAACTGAATATATAAATATTAAAGATTTAAAAAAATATATTTCCGAGCTTCTGGTGCTCTCAGCACAGCGATGGCTCCGAGCCCGGCGCCGCTCCGGTGATGCCCCGTGCGGTGCCGCCCCGCTGCTCGCGTGCAGATTCCGGCGGGACAATCAATAGTGCAAACCAGCGTGGGTTAATTAAGGAGATTTTAATACTCCGCGCATCCCGACCCGCGCCTTTGTCCGCACCCGGGACGGCACGGAGACAAAGGGCGGTGGGGGGGCGCGGGGCCGCGCTTTGTTGGGGCCGAACCGGGCCGGCCTCGAGCTCCTTCTGCGCCCGCGGGGAACAAAGGAGAGCCCGGAGCGGAGCGCCCGGCCCGGAGCGGAGCGCACGGTCTCCTTTGTCCGCGGCTCCGCCCGGCTCTGCTCGGCCCTGGAGCCATGCGGGGCTCTGCTGCACCGCACCGCGGGCACCCACGGGCTGCGTGCTGCCGTGCGGGGCTGTGCGCGGCGGCAGTCCCAAAAATGGGGTCGGTGTTGGGGTGCGGCGAGGCGGCCGCGTTGGCACCCAGCTCTACTGGCACCTGCCCCCTTCCCAGAGCTTAATTCCGGCGCAGCATCCCCGCTGTGTCCCGCTCTGCTCGAGCCCGTTCGCAGCAGAAGCAGCCTGCTTTGTGGCTTTTGCCATTTCTCCCCACACTCTTGCATTCCCCCCAAGGGCTGCGCACGGGACTGGCGTCGCTGCACTGGGAGCGTGTGTGTGCATAACATCTGTGAGCCGTGAAATAACCACGGCGCTGCCCACCTCGCTCTGCCTGGCTCCGGCTGCACCCCGGGTGCCCTGCAGTGCCGTGCTCCATGCACACGGCTGCCGCTGTGTCACCAGCCTGGGGACATCACCTCCAAAGGGACGTGGTGCTGAGCCCCTGTGCGGGCTCCCCGTGGCTCTGCGGACTCCTCTGGCTCAGCACAAGCGGTGAGCGACAGCCCTCGTGGTCAGTGGCACTGCTGGTGGTGGGGCTGGGGGACACAGCGGTAGCACAGCAGTGGGTTTGGGGCACCGAGATGAGGACAGAGCTGCCGTGTCCTCAAGTTCCTGTCCCCTCCGGTGTCCCTTCCAGGGCCTGGCCCAGCTCTGTGTTCTGCTAATGGGAGAAGGGCAGCTCTGTGCTGTGCTCCCAGGAAAGAAAGGCAGCCGGCTGAACTCCTATTCGCTGTCCCATTGTATCGGACGCGGTAATAATCGGGTTTGCAAATGCAATCGCTGCTACGATGCGAAAATCCTACTGGAAAATGTATTAGAGCAATTATCCGTCTCACTCCGCGGCCGGGTGTAGCATTAATATTCAATTTTGATGTGCAAGTCCTATTATGTTAATGACTTTGGTGACAAAAGTCGTCCGTGGAAGACTTTTTCTTTATAGTGTAGCATCAGCGGGGGTGAGCGCGGCCACCACGTTACTGTGGGGATGGGATCACACCCAGGGCTGTGCTGTGGGGATGGGATCACAGCCAGGGCTGTGCCCAGCTCCGTGCAGCCTGGGGTGCGGTGTGGGCCGGCACTACACCCGGTGCTGCAGCTGCCCTCCTTTGTTCTCTCCGGGGCTGGGGGGTGTGCGGGGCTCCCTCCACTGCACTGCCGGTATCGGGGCCGCCCCGAGCTCTGCGGATGGAGGGTGGGCAGCGCTGCAGGAAGGCCTGGATGGACAGATGGACATATGGATGGATAGACGGATGCATGGCTCACGTGCAGCACAGAGAGGGTCGCAGCCCGCGTACGGCGCCGGTGCTGCCGACCCCCGGCATTACCGTTGCACAGCAACGCAGCTCCGCAGGGGCACGAGGCCGAGCCCCGCGGTCGCCAGCGCCGCCCCAGGGGACGGGAGCGGGACGCAGATTGGCAGAAACGGGAAAAAATGGCAGCGCCCTTCGCTTTCCGAGCAAAACACCCATTTCCGGCAGCGCGACTCCCGACCGCCTGCAGCCCCGCGGGCGACCCCGCGCCGTTCCCGGTCAGTGTGAGCCCAGCGGGGGTGAAGGGGGTGGGCACGAAGCTCCCTACGGGCCGAGCAGCCCCCCCCAGCAGACCCCACCGGGACGGGTGTCTGCAGGCGGTCCCTCGAGAGCACCCCGCCGCTTCCCTCCCGGTGGGCGCTCGGCCCACCCACGGCCCCAGCACGGCGCGGGGACGGCCGCGGAGGCACGGTGGGGGGGCGGGGAGGGGAGAAACGGGGGGAAACCGGGGAGAGCCCCGGGCGCTGCCCCGCTGTGGCGGCGCCGCGCGCACGTGGCCGGGCTGGGGCATCCCCGGCCGCGCCGCGCCGCCCCTCCCCCCGCGCGACTATTGGCCCGCCCTTCCCCCCGCCGCGCTCCCATTGGCCCCGGCGCCCTCCACAAACAAAGGCCGGCGCCCGCGGGGGCTCCGCGCGCCGCCCTCATTGGCGGGTTGGCGACGGCGGTGGGCGGGGCGAAGATCCGGCGGGCCCCGCCCTCCGCGCCGCGCCAGTTGCCTTAAAAGGGGCGGGGCGGAGCGCGCCCATTCATGCGGGCCGGCCGGGGGCGTGGCCTGGCCGAGCCGTTCCCGCTGGCGCGCCGCAGGCAGGTGGGTGCGGGCCGCGCGGGGCCCACGCGTGTGCTGTAAGGGCGGGGGGCGGCGGGGCCGCATCCTCGCGCGTGTGCCGCTGTTACAGCCGCGCGGGGCGGGGTGACACCGGACGGTCTGTGCTCACGCGGGACGGACGAGAGGCGCGCGTCGTGCGTGTGCGTGTGCCGCGCGTGTCCGTGTGATCCCTGCGGGCCCACGCGGTGCTCGCGGCTGCCCCGCGGGTGCGGGTAGGGCGCTGCTCTGTGTCTGGCACGAAACCGTGTGGTCCCCCCGGCTCTCGATCGCCTCCACGCGTGCTCTACGCCAGGCCCGGTGCTGGCACCCGCGTGGGTCTGTCCCTTCCCAGCCTAAATCTGCGATATCTACAGCACGGTGCCCCCCACCCGCGGTGTCACTCGTTTCCTCTGCTGGAGGGGAACCAGAGGGTCCACCAAGGACGTCTTGGGGACACTCCATCCTCCCTGTGTTCCCCCCCGAGAAGGTTCGTGCTCTGTACCTACTCTGCTCCTCCTGGCTGAATGCCTGCACAGACAGAACCCTCTTCTCCGTTTTCCTAATAGCATCCATAAATTTATTCTTGCTTCCAACCTGCCAGGTCCCCACATGACACACGGTGTCCTCCAGCCCGCGCCGCAGCGATGGATTGAACTTTAGTCTCTGAGCAATTAAGGTGACCTGAAACTGCACTTCATTAATGGTTGTTATGCAATAAAAACGATAAAACTGCCCTTATTTGCAATATAAAAAAGCAATTTGTTTTAATTTATGTTTTTAAATACTTGCCAGGTTCTTCCCGGGCTCTGCCAGGCATTGACCTTTGAGGTGGGAGGAGTGGAGCGGGTTGCTTTGTTGGGACAGGGTTAGGATTAGGATGTCCCTGTATGTCCCCCCTCTGGGCTGCAGCCTTGAACGGGCTCAGTGCCCCAGCTCTGCCAATTGCAAATCCGCTGCTGCTCTCTCCTGCCGCTCTGCTCAGCGAGGTGCGCACACACGCATGTGTGAGCGTGCTTCCCCCACTGAGCTGCACAGGACAAAGGCTCTGCCCTGGCGCAGCAGTGTGGGACCCTCGTGGGGATTTGATGCGTTTTCATAAAACAGAGAGAGATCTTGAGCTGCCCCTCAGCCACCTTTTCTAATTACAGTTAATTGCAGCTGCCTGCAGCCCCTCAGGACCTGCTTATTCTCCTGGGCTCCCCACCCTGGGGCAGGATGGATGGGGGCCAGGAGCAGCTCTGAGCTGGGGGTCCCAGCAGACCCCGTGTGGGGATGCAGCTGAGGGCGTACTGTAGGGCTTGGAGGAGCCTGAGCTGTGCAGCACAGGGCTGGAGGAAGGGCACCACCCTACTGTCTCTATGCTGATGGTGGTGCTGGAGGCTGCCTTCGGCTCCCCCTGCTTTCCTCACAGCGTCGGGGCCGCGTTGTTCGGTAGCGGGGTGCTGATGGGTTGCAGGTGAGCATCCGCACATGGTTTGCATTGCAGAGAGGCTGGGGACACAGCAATTGGAAACACATTGCCCTGTGGGACTGCCCTGCATGCAGGCGGCCGGGGATGAATACTGCAGCCCTGTGTCAGATTGGCTGCAGCAGCAGTACCTACCTGATTTCCTCTTTTTAATGGGGAGGAAAATGGAGTTTCATTCATCACTTGGGCTTTAAAAATTGCCTGAGGAGTGTTTGCTTTCGAAAGCAAAAAAATCGATAGCGGGAAGAAAAGAGAAACAGGGAAATGGGCAGCAGTGGTGAAAGCAGATGGATACCAAATTCCCCCTAGGCTGGAGACAGTGGTAGGGAAGTTGGTAACACGGTCAGGACATCACCAGAGGTGTTGGGGCCCCCAGAAGTTGAGCTTTGGCAAGGTGCTGCGCTACCCATCCTCACAGGCTGCACATCCCACAGTGTGTTGCAGTGCTCTCAGTGCTTGCTGGGTTCCTGGTGGCCTTTCAGCATGTGGGGAAGCCACCTGAGCCCTTTTTTCTGCCAGTGTTGAGTTAGGGGCCATGTAAAACTAATTGGATAAACATGATTTCCCCTCTAACTCGGTGCAGATGTCCTGGTGCAGCAGTAAGGTGCTCTCCCTTCCCAGCCAGATGGGCAGCTGTGTCCTAGGTTCTGTGCCTGCTTGGGTAGGAGACATCCAGCCCCACCCCACAAGTGGGGACAGTTGGGGACCCCCCAGCCCTGGGGTCGTGGCAGCACTTCTGCTGCTGTAGAGAGCATGGGGGGCTGAGAGGAGGTCACAGTATGGGAAGTGTCCCATGTCCGGATACTGCATCCCATATCTGGGTACCAGGCCTGGGTAGTACATCCTATATCCTGGTACTATGTCCTATGCCCAGGTGCTGCATCCAGTATCTGGGAATGACATCCCATATCCTGGTGCCGCATCCTGTGCCTATGTACCATGTCCCATATCCCGCTACCACATCCCATATCCTGGTACCCTGTCCCATGTCTGAGTACAACATTCCATATCTGGGTATGATGTCCTATGCCTGTGTTCCATGTCCCATATCTGGGTACCATGGCCCATGCCCAGGTGCTGCAGCCCCCCCAGCTCTGGCCCTGTGCTACTGATGCCAATTCTCACACCTGGGCACTGCTGTCTGCCCCACACCATCCTCTCTCCCATGTCCAGTACCATCACCATTCCCATCTGTGTGCCCTGTCCACTCAGGTCCCTCCCAGCCGGGCAACCTTAACCCAGAATGGGGGGTTTGGGATGAAGAGAGGGGCAGCCCCCATTGCTGCTGGGACTGCACTCTCATGGGGTTTTTGATGTCAGAGCACCACAAAGCAGCCACTGCTGCCGCCTCAACCCCGGCAGCACCTGGAGGGAATTAGGCAGGCGTGCTCCACCTCCCTGCAAACCTTTTGTAAAGCAAATTCTTGTGGTTACCCATTGCAATTGCTGCAAATTATACAAGCGCTGTGTATTTTGTTCCAATGGGAACATGCAGTTGGCTTGCACCGCTCAGACCTGCCACCATGCCTGCAAAGCAAGTCAGCCTGTGGGTGGTGGGCATCCCTTTATTCCTTCCCCTTTTTTAAGGGTTGATCCCTTGCAAAGCCTCCGCGCCCTCATTGGGAAGCACTGCACATGGGCTTTGATCCACCCTTGCCTGAGCACCATGTGCATCGCACGCACACACACACACAACAGCCAGATGCCCAGATGTGCACACATGAACCCATGAGCAGAGCAGGAGCTGAGCCCAGAGAGATTGCTTGGGTTGAATGTACATGCATGTGTATGTATGTGCATGCATGTATATGCTTATGCGTGTGCATCCATGCATGTGCATGGGTGTACACGTGTGCACCTAAATGCTTGTGCCTGTGCATGCCTGCATGTGCATTCGTTGTTTGTATGTGCTTTTGTATGCATGAGCATGTGCATCTACATACATGTGCGTGCACGCATCTGCATGACTATAAACGCATTTCCCTGACTCTTGGATGCTGGGCCCGAAGGTGTCATCCCGTTTCCGCCTCTGCCAGCAGCCTTAAAACAAAACTTCCCCGCCCTCTCCCTCCCCTCAGTCCTCCTGGAGCAGTGTGCGCGGTCCTCCAAGGCGGCAAGAGCGCCGCCGCAGGCCGCTCCACCCCTCCCGTCTCGCTGTCCGCCGCCCCACTTCCCGGAAGCGCCAGCGGAGCAACGGAAGGCGGAAGTGCCGCTGTGGCCGGTGCCGGTGCCGCCATGGCGGGTGGCTGAGGGGACCCGCGGGGCGGGGCGGGGTGGAGGGGCGGCTCCGGGCCGGGCCCTGCGGGGCGGCCCCGCCGCGGGCGATGGCGGCGGCCGCGGGCTCCAACTGGGGCCTGATCATGAACGTGGTGAACAGCATCGTGGGCGTCAGCGTGCTCACAGTGCCCTTCTGCTTCCGCCAGGTGAGCCGTGCCGTGCCGTGCCGTGCCTGGCTCACGGCCGCCCTCGGGGGCGGGGGCAGCCCGGGGGGAGCCGCTGCGGGGTCCCGGAGCCCCGGGAACGGGCCGGGAGCGGTGGGGTGGCGGTGTGAAGGCAGGAGTTGGCTGCGTCCAGAGCCTTATTCTGTGCCATGGGGCCCTCAGCTCTGTGCTGTGCAGTCTCCCCGCAGTCGTTCTCACCTTTACTTGAGCTGAAGAGAAGCGCTGAGCACCGTGCCCGTGTGTGGGTCCTGCAGGTGCCGAGCCACCTGTGTTGGCCCTGCGGCCGCACCGGTTTCAGCCCCAGCACAACGAGAGTCTGGTGTTAGGGGCTGCTGCTGCTTTTTGCAAGTCACCTGCTTGAAAAGCAGCCTGTGTGTGACATCTACCTCTGCACACCTGTCCTGCAGTGCAGGGCAGCTCGGTAATGTCTGTGTGCTGTTAGGTAGTGCTTATTAAATAAGTGTGTGGGTAAGGGTTTGGACCTCGTGCTTAGGTGTGGCTCTGTTGTTTACATGAACCTAATGAGGGCTGCAGAGAGCCCTGGGGATGCACCAGTCTCACGGTGTGAGTCATAGAATCGTTCAGGTTGGTAGAGATCTCTGAGGTCATCAAATCCAACTGTGTTTCACAAATGGCTCCAGTTCACCCCTCCCTGCTAGCACAGCTGGCTGCAGGAAGAGTTAAATTGAGCTCAAACATCACATTTGTCCTGGCTGCAGGGGGGATGGGGAACTCCCTGAACAGGTGAAAATGTGGCGGAAGATGCACGGGGGAGGCTGGAGGCAGCAAGGGCTGCTCAAAGTGCCTGACTTTCCATCTTGTGCTTGTCTCGTGCTTGTCTCCTCTTCCTTTGCAGTGTGGCATTGTCCTGGGAGCTCTGCTCTTGATTTTCTGTTCTTGGATGACTCATCAATCCTGCATGTTCCTGGTGAAATCGGCCAATCTCAGCAAGCGCAGGACCTACCCCGGCCTGGGTGAGAATTTCCAGCTCTAGGGCTTGCTTTTTTTAACTGTGGTTTTACTTTGACCTCTTAATTTACAACTTTTTCACTGATATTGTTGGAAAACCAAATTATTTCTTGATTTCAAGTTTTCAATTTGTGTTTTGTTCTCCTGTCAGTCTCTTCCCCTGTGCCATGTCCCTGGGGGAATACAAGGGCTTAATTCTGTTCTTGACAGTGAAGTTAATAGGCACAGAATTGTTTTGACTCTGCAGGGCAGGGGAGGAGATGCAGTGCTGACTGATCAAAACCCAAGTTTTCGGGAGCTGGCCTGGTGGGTGTCTGGTGTAAATTATCGGTCTCAGCATGAAAGCCACGAGCTTCCCCACCCAGCATGCTGCCGAGGACATTGGGTTCTGCCAGCAGAGCCTGGCATGGAGCTCAGGCTGCCTGGGTCTGAGCCGTGTGTGCATTTATGGCAGAGCAGGGGGAGCGGAGAGGAAACAGCATTGAAAGTTCCAAGTGGCCAAGAAAATAAAAACATCTGCAGGATTCATGTGTGAGGTTTTGGCAGCGTCTGCCAGCCTCTGCACGGTGCCAGTGCTGGCCTCTGCTGTGACCTCTCTGCTCATTCTGACTGAGTTGGGGAGCAGGAGGAGGTGGTTGGGTTCCCGTGCTCTCAGCTGGCATGTGAAACAACATGGTTGTTTACTTGGTTTCTCTTGTTTGGGGAAGGATAGAGTTGGCTGGCATCGCTTTTGGTAAAAGAGTTAAAGAACTGCATGGCTCGCTTGGTCACTGCATTGTTGACAAATGGATTTCCACTGTGCTCAGGATACACAAGGTTCTGTTACTAGGCTGTGAATCTTTAGCCTTTGCTACAAGCTTAAAAAAAAAAAAAAATTAAGGAGTGTTGTGGTTTTAGCAGCCGTGCTCCTGCCCTGGAAGCAAGGCTCGATTAGTGCAGAGCCCTCAGGTGGTGCCGCCTTGGCCCAGCCCCTCCTCTCCCAGCTGCCTGCGCTGCTGCTCCCTGCTCTGACAAGGAGCCTTTGTGTGCTGCTTCCCTCTCACC